TACATGTACACACAGGTGCAAACACACACACACACACACACACACACACACACACACAAATACACATAGTTTATTTCCTCAAGAAATTGGACAGCCCATGTGGCCTAATTGAGGATGATGATAGAAGCTTGTCTTAGAAAAATAAAGTTAATTCCCAGATCTTATAGGCAGCAAATGCCTGAACAAATACTGATCAAACATAGTCTAGAAGTGACCAGCCTAATAACCTTCAAGCCAGAGTGGCCCTGCCTTGAACAAGTGGATTTATGGAGTGATTTTCCTTTGCTGCCCTTGCCAGAGAGAAGATCTGAAGGCATCTGCAGTAGCCAAGGGTAAGTCCAGCAGGTGGAACTTCTCAGCAGCTTCCTCTGCTCATCTGTCCCCCTCCAATGCGGGCCAGCAGATGCGGCCCATTTTCTATCTTCAGTCCAGGCGGGACAATCACACAGAGAACTGTGCAGTTTCCCTGCCGGTACCTGTGTGGCTGTTTCCCGCCTCAGCCCAGACACCTGCAGCAGAGGAGGAGGGATGAGGCAGTGAAGGGACAGAAAAGAGGGGAGAGTGCATCAGAGTGTGTGAGGATGTGTGGGTGAGGAAACCCCAGGAGATCAGCTTCCAACAGTGATTAATTTAGTGGGAGAAAATAGATTCTCACTGCCAGCCACCAAGGCTGCAGCAGCCGACAATGAAGCAGCGAGCTTGGCTGGCAGGCAGCCTGGTCCTGTGAGCAGACAATTTGTGAGCTGCAAGCTCCTGCACCAATAGGAAACTATTGTAGGAACCAGGCCTCTCCTTGTGGTGGGAAAGGAGCCACCCTGCTCCTGGGGTTCACCTCCAGACCCCAGAAGTGCCAGATTTCCCATGCACACCAGTGCCTGGCCTGCACTACCCCAGGGATGACCGGTGGCACCTGCGTGCTGGGTGTCCCCCAGCCTGACCCAGTCACTGCCTGCTCTTTTAACACTCCATTTTGCTTTCTGGCATGGATGAAATGATAGTTTATCAAACATGAAGTCACTCATTCATGCATTCGTGCAAAGAAATGTTTCAAGTGTCCACTATGCCTCAAGTCCTGTGTTAGGCGCTGTAGTTATGTGGTGCACAAGATGGATACACACCCTGCCTTTGGAGGGGCAGTGAGGGAGACAGAATTAAATAAATGATGGGTGGGTTTTGTATATTTATTCCATAATATACACATGGTTCTGGTGTTCAAAGAGAGCTCATTAGAAGCATAAAGCCTAGCCAGGCACGACGGCACAGGCCTGCAATCCTGGCACTCTGGGAAGCTGAGGAAGGAGGATCATAAATTTGGGCCCAGCCTGGGAAACTTAGTAACTTAGGAGGTGCTGTCTCTAAAAAAATTATAAAGATGGGGTTGTAGCTCTGTGTGGAGGCACTGGGTTCAATGCCCAGTAGTACTACAAAAAAAAAAAAAAAAAAAAAAAAAAAAAAAAAAAAGGAAGAAGAAGGAAGGAAGGAAAGAAAGACAGACATCAGTATCATCTAGCTCAGCTTCACTTGGCATCTGAAGAAACCGAAGCCCAGAGAGGTCGCATAACTCCTTCAAAATCACACAGGGAGTGGATACAGCATACCACACCGCCGCAATCCAGAGAGACCCGATATGAATGAAACATCGTGAACAATCTTGCTGCATCTTCCTTGAATATCTACTCTGTCAAACTCTCCATGAAAATAAATGTTCTATAGTCAGCTCAGTTCAGAAAATGGCAGTTCTGCTAGGCTGACAGTGAACATGACAGCATTAAGAGCCCTGAGCTCTACGGGGGGGAACCCTGTGTATCACTGTTTACCCTCGTGTTTCCCAAACCACTCTGGCCATGGAAGCCCTTTACTTTGTGCAGCACCGCTTGATACCACCTGTTCATACTCCTCAGCATGTTGGGACACTCCAAATTGTACAAGTCTTGCTAGTTTACACATCAGACCTGCCCTGACTGTTTTTTTTTTTCCTGTTTTCTTTTTTGTCAAAGAACTTTAGTTCTTTGCCTCTAAGTTATATTAGATCTGAATTTTCATTCTCCTTCAACTCTCCAATACTTGTCACATATCTAAATAGTTCTTTCCCCTGTAATTCTTGGGTTGCCCATTCCTTTGAATTTTATTCACTTTGCTCTCTCTCTCATTCACGTCTGAGGACTTCATCTCTCCCCCCCACTTCAGTATTTGATCCTCAGTTTACTCCAAGCTTGCTTTTTCTGAGGTCATCAAGGAAAGGCACTGAAATTTCACTGATCACTTTCTTATGATAAATCACAAATCCTGTAACTAGCTCCTGAGCCTTGTCTACCAGTGTGTCTGACCAAAGAACAGTTCATTCATGTGTTCATACACTACTTGTTGAACATTAGATTACATGCCACACTAAAGCCCAACTTCCTACACTCTCTGGCTAGTTAATTCTGCTGGCTATAGAACTGTGGTAATAGGGTTAAGTTCATAGGTTTAACCTCTGTTGAGTCTAAAAGTTTCATTCTGCCCACAACCTTGTATCTTGACATTCTTTCCAACGGATATTCTTGGGCATGAAAAGGACAAAAGCAGAGCCTGTGTTTGGAAAGAAACAAGTCCAGACCTTGGAACTAGGGACACTTTTCCATTGAGTACATCCAACTAATAGCTCTTCCCTATATCAGCCTGGGCCCCAGTCATGTCCAAAACCATCATCCTCTGCAAAATTCATAATTAATTCACCAGGATAAAACTAACATGTCTTTTATTCCCTTTCACTCCAACAAACCTCATGTTTTTTTTTTTCCTGTCAGCTTTCTTATTTCTTTATTACCCCTGTGGCTCACCGGTATTTCTCATATTTCGTTTGCACCTGAAAAAATGAGAGAAGTGGTCTTAAAGAATGCCGGCGGTAGGATTATAGTGCTAAGGCCTCTTTCCCAAGAAACTTGCTACCACCAGATGTGAGACTGAATCTCAGTGTTGACTGCACTTGTACACTCATGTAGGCATAGACACACACACACACACACACACACACACACACACACAGTTTTTTCATAGAAAGAAAAACTCTAAAGTTGATTTAGCATTCATGGAATCCTTTGGGGAAATATTTTTGTGACATACTGTGTATTACTCCAGCTTTTCCAAGACACTTGGGAATATTTAAAATATGAGGCAAACAACACTCAGCACAGTCATTAGGAAGTGTTATGCAAAACATTAGTAATACGCCCACCAAACATTAACTTAAAAACCAGGTACAAACACTGGGTTTCTGAGATTCTTCATTTGTAAAGCTCATTTCCTTCACTTTTCATGAAGGATCCCTGATTCTTTTCCAGAAGTGGGGTGAGGGACGATGACGAACAATTACATCTGTGATCAGCCCCAGGCATTGTCAGGTCACTGTGGCAGGGGCTAAACCTTATCAGGCTCACAAAGTCCTTCTGGGCTCATCTCTGTCTGCTCTGGTCCCTTCCCTTTTTTCCTGGAATCAGTCCTACATTCCCTCTTCTAAGCCTTAACCAGAAGAGGGAAAAGCATCACTATTTCCCCTGACAAACATCATCTCACTTCTCTTTTCTCTCAAGTTTTTAAAATGTCTTAGAACCTGACTCCTACACTCTGCATCCTTCAAGGATCAGTCTGCCTACTCTGTCCTCTGCTACCACCTTTATCCCCGCATTATAGTCTTCTTACAAATGCTTATTTCTCCAAAAGCTCTATCTATATCCGTCTTATCAATTCTTTAGACCCACAAAAAGGAATCATGCTATAAGGACAGGAACACAGCATTCAAAATAAAAATGCTACTTCTCTTCCTGTCTTTTAGGTTTCCTTCTTCACTCAGCCACTTTCAGTTCACCTCTTCCCTACTTCTGAACTTTTTTAGACAGAGGCAAATCATGGTGGACCCCAAATGAAAAAAAGAAGCAATATGCTGAGACTCCCCTTCCTTTCTTCCCCAAAGACAAAGTGGGACTGAGTCCTGATCCAGTCCCCTGCTCCCCACACTCCAAGAAAACACTAACTGCAGACAGTGTGAGACAGATGCTTTTGTCAGGATCCCGTGTTTCAAGTAAGATACATCCCATATGGTTAAGGCCGAAGACAGCCTGGCCTGCCCCATCTTCCTCTGCCAGCAGCCCCCCACCCATATCCCCTTCCCCAGAACACATTCACGTCTCCCAACAAGCCAGGCATGAATACACCAGCCATCTTGAACACCAGGGATTTGGTGAAAGCGTTAAGAAGAAATGTAAACAATACATACTAATTGCTGATGTGACATAAGTTATAAATTAAACTACATGGAATACAGTGCTGAGCTCCTACCCCAGCTTCCACCATTGGCAAGATAAGAAAGCAGGCAACTCATAAAGAACAGAGCAGCTTCTAATGAGCACCTTTTGATATTTCAGTAACTAGGGCCCTAGATGCCTTACACCAAATAAGTCCTTAGCTCTGCTGAATGATGAGGCTCCAGAGCATTCTGGGCTTAGGATAAGGAAGAGGCCCCATCCAGGGTGGACTGCAGCAGAAAGCCACCTGCAGCCCAGGCACTTCAAAACTGGCCCTGTCTTTAGGAAAGGGAGCTGTCTGGGTAACCATGCTGAGGGTTATTGTCTCCTTTCATAAGGAAGCCCAGGAAATCTCTGTGCCCAGGGCATAGTTGAGTCAAATGAATGAACAGATGATTAAGGAAATGCTGAAGACCCCAAATACCTTTGCTACTTGCAAACCCCATCTTTGCTTTGGTTTTCTTCACTGAGTAGCCCAAGGGGGAGAGGGAGGTAGGGCCAGATAGAGGGGAGGGAATGGCACTGCCAACCAGTGGGCCTATGGGCCTTGCCTTGTCCAGCTACAAGTGATCAGCAAAGCTGGCTGTGACCTTTGCATGAGCTGGCTGAGTTTAACAGTTTCCAAAGTCAGCAGGTGAGGGGGTTGTTGTTGGGTGACATCAGTAACTTCTCCCTCACTCCTAGGCCAATTCTCTCTGAGTTGCCTATACCATATTATTTTCACCTTTCTAGTCCTCTCAGAGAAGTTTTTCTGTGCCACAAGGCCAAGGCCACATCTTTTATGATGAGAGCCAGAGATAAGACAGTGTTGTCAAAACCTATTTATTCATTCTGCAAGCATTGTGAGTTGACCGTGGCACCATGCTGGGCCCTGAGCATCTGTAAACAAATAAAACAAAACTGCTGGGGAGTGGGAGAAGGCACTCAGGCTAGTGGGAAGATGGGCAGCACACAGACATAACTGTCTAGGCACAGAGGCTCAAAACTCTGGGTGGCCTTGTGGCCTTGTGTCATGAACCTATCCACTGATGGGACATATGAAGCCCAGAGAAGACCAGAGGGGTGAGCTGGGAATCTTCAAGTGGCTCCTTCCAGGAGCTCTGTGCTTTTCATCAGGCTCTACAACAGCCTGGCTACACAGGGTAAACCTGGAAGGGTCCCACAGCCCCCCATCACCTCCTCTTTTGCTAAAACATGTCACAGGGACACCTGGTAGCATCAAATACCTTGTGTGTCCTAGCTTTTCTTCCATTGTTTGTATCACTAAGAATCCAAAGCGCCAAACACTTCTTGGATTAGAGGCCTGCAGGTTTCCAGGGAGGGCAGTGGTGCTGCGAGCAGCGCCATTTGCATCTTTCATTAATTAGTGCAGGCCATGGCTGGCCAGGCTGCCAGCTCTCCTGAATGCACATCTTCCTGAGGTGATAGAGAATCAATTGCTTTGATGCAACTTTTGGATCCTTGTTACAGCCCTGGCTTGGATCCCATGCAGTTCCTCAGACAGACATCAATAACCTTGCCTTTCATTGCCTTCATCAGCCTCCATGCCAGTCCCATTAGAATGCACCAATATTTATGTACATCTTAAGAGCACCACCAACAGCAGCATTATAAAAGGGTGGCCAGCGATGGGGGTGGGGTGGGATGGGGAGAGACTGCAGGTTGTGTTTTCTCTCCTCATTCTCCTTTTATTGACTCCCAGGGAAGACAACTTCTCTTCCACTGATTCTTTCTCTTCAGTACCTTGAGGCCTTGGTTTCCATTACTACCCAGAGATTCCATGTTAATAAAAATAAGTAAGACTTGCTGGAGATCCATGTTTGCCAAGGCACTCTACTTTCCACGCATTTATTATTTTTTTGCAAGTGTTGCAAAATTCAACAAGGTAAGTGGTATTGCTATTTAACAGATGAATAGGTGAAGGCTCAGAGTGGTTGATAAAGAAGTTCAACGTCAAACTGCTATAATCAAGGTTATAGGCAACATAATAAAGTCCCATGGTAATAACCAGGGTTTTAACTTATTTCTGGATCCAAACTGTATTCACTTTTACTCAATTACTTTGAGGTTCTTACAATTTAATACTTTTAATTGACCACCTACTATGTGCAAGGTACTATTATGGGTTCTGAGAATATCAGTGTGACTAAGACAGATATAAAGTCTTTCTTATAGTATTTGTACATTGTAAGACAAAAGTAAAATGCATAAACAAGAAACAATTACTTAGAGATAAGTGAATGCAGATAGTTAAAATAGACTGATGTGAGGTGAGGGGCAGGGTGGCTTCTTTTAGATTGGGCCCCCTGGAGGAGTTGGCAGTCATACTGAGTGATGAATAGACCCTCCTAAGGCACAGCTTGGCATGCCAGGGGAGGAGAGGATGGGGGGGCTTGTGCAAGGGCAGGGGAGCAGCAAGGCTGGTATAGCAGTTGAAAAACGAAGAGGTAGAAGGTGGCAGCAGCACTGGGAGCACTGGCTTATGACCCAGGGGAAGCCATTTGGATTTAATTTTGATTATGATAAGAAGTCACTGGGCTTGATCTGGTATAATTAGTTGGCAGTCTCTCTGGCTTTGTATGGAGAGGTATTAGAGTGGAACACAAGAAGAATCAGGCAGAATTAGTCAGAGGCTGCAGTCTTGGTGCCTGAGGCTAAAATGGGAGTCCCTGAAGGAATAAGAGAAGTGTGAACACACCCCAGGTGTGCTTAAGAGGTAGCATACATTAGACTGACTAATGGATTGGGTGTGAGGTGTAAGGAAGAGAGAAGAATCCAAAGTTCCTCCGGGTGCCACTGGGGACTGAGCAAGTTGGTGTATCACCATGGCATTTGTTAAAATGAGGCGTGTCTGGTGATGGTATGTTGTGGGATAGGGGTGGGGGAGTCCGGAGTTGTGCTTGGGCCTTTTAAGACTAAGACTTTAGAAGTTAATGAAGCATTTGTATGGGAGGAACTAGATATCATCATGGAGAACATACACCTACAGGAAAAAAAAGAGTCCAGTTGTACCCTGGCCATACCTTGACACTTAAAAGTAGAAGAAAGGATGACTCCATAGAGCAGGCTAAGAATCAGAGACCAGCAGGAAAGGGAGGAACCCTGGAGAGCCTGCTGCCAGGACACTGAGAGTTTTAGAGTTTCCTGTGACAGCAATAGTAAAAGAAGGAGAAATAGGAAAAAGGTGGTCACAGTTGTACGAAAAGCTCATTATGTGCCAGACCCAGTTCTAAGAGTGTCCTTTGTCCTATTACCAAAGCAAGCCTAAGTAGATATATCGTTCTCTCCATTTTACAGGTGGGACAATTGAAGCAGAGAGAGCCTACCTGAAAGCAAGATGATCTTTCTATGCCTTGTGCTCACAAAATAAGCAATGGCCCAATTCCTTCTATACTCCCTAAATCAGCTTCTGAGACTCAAACAGGTACTGACTGAGTTCTCTGGAGGTCCTGTCCTTTCTCAGCCTTGAACTTGGTTTATTAATCTCTTTGTCGGTTTCAATGCTCAGATAAGGGAAAGTCTGGTAGCTTAGCTGACAGATGAGCAGGCTGCTGCCATAGAGCGTAATCAAGTTTTTTCATTTTGTTCTCTTCTCCAACATAAACCTTTCTCTCCAGGCCCATCCTCTGCCCAGCTGCTAGACCCACTGAATGATACCCAGCAGGGGCCTTGCCACCTTGAAACCGTTCCAAGTTCTTTCTCAAATCTTTTCCAAGTCTTATCTCCTCGGAGGGGGCTTCCCTCAAAAGGTTATCCACCTTCATTTCTATGATCCCTCAGAAATTATTTCAGATTTAATTAATTTTCATACTTAATTAGGTTCAATTTTGCACTTGGTATTGGCAAAGTAGTTGGGTTCCCCTGACATTTTTGTCAGTCAAAAATGTTATTAGCAGAGGTGGAAATAGCAACAAAGGGAGAAAATGTGTCCCTTGATATATGGGAAGGGCTGGGAGAGGGCAAAAAATGCTATTAGGTGCCAAAGAACCTAAGAATACTATTAGGTACCGAAGCATGGGTCCAGGCTGGGTCAGAACATGGAGAGTCTGAGGAAGGCCAGGCTCTCCACCCCCACAGTGTGTGGGACATGATCTCATGCAGCTAGACATGGGCCTGACTGATCCTCCAGAGAGCAGGAATGGGAGTCATCTGGGAAGAGAGCCCACTGCAGTATCCTTTTGACTTGGTTCTTGTCCCATCCATTTGAAATGGACTAAATTTATTTGTGCACAGGAAACCTGCCCTAGAAATGGCCAATATAATTCAAAAGTGCTCTGAGTTCTCTTCAGCCATCTCACCACCTTTTTAAAAATTTTTATGGAATACAATCATAAGCCATGTCGCAGAGTGTTTTGACTGCTTTCTTGCCCTTAACTTATTCTCATATACATGATACCAGGTTTTATAAAGACCTAGCTAAGTAATACTTTCAAATTTAGTGTATGGAAAAACTGACTGATGAAGCTTATAAAGCCAATATTTGTATGCACCAAAGTCTTTTCATCCCCATGCACTTTTCTCTCTTTATTCACACCATATCACCATGCAACCTCACCCAGGTCCTCTCTTAAGACAGCATCTCTCTGCCAGTGACTTACTGACTTACACCTGAAGCACAGACTTCTCCTCTCAGTCTTACAAGGATGCATTACACAATATTTCAAGAGGTATGTTGACTTGGTTGATTACTAGGTTCCTCAACGTGGCACACCCACCACAAGTCCATGATGTCATCACTGCCTCTAAAAGTAGACTTGCTTTATTACTCTATCCCAGCAATAGCTTCACCACCATCCAGGTATAGAAGCCACAAATCCAGGTATCATCACCAACTCTCTCTTGCTATTGCTCTTTATAGGCAATTTATCCAGTCCTAACAATTTTGCATTCTGATTGTGTCTTGTATCCATCAACTGTACTTTGTCTCTAGTGCCTCCACCTTGATCCAAATACCCCTCACCTCTCACCTTGGCACTATAAGGATTTCCAGTCAACCTAATACTCCTTCTCCCTATAACTGAATCCCAAAATGCAAATCTGACAGTGCCACCCCTATGCTCAACTTACTGCAATTCTTCCCTATTGCTCTAAGAATACCAAAGTTTTAATATTAAATACTCAATGTGTGCCCCCAAATTCATGTGTTAAAGCCCTGTTTACCACACTCCACTACCAAAAATTAGCTGTATTTGAAGAATGGGTCTTTAAAATGCTTATTTAGGTAAAATGAGGTCAGCAGGAGGGTGCAAGTCTAATATCCTTATTGGAAGAGAGGACCAGGACACAGATGAACAGAGGGAAGACGATGTGAATATGGGGGAGAAGGCAGCATTTAAAGCCATGTGTAGTGGCCTTAAAAACCCTGCTGATACTTTGACCTCAAACTTCTTTCCCTACAACTGTGAGCAAATCACTTGCTATCGTTGAAGCCATTAAATCTGCGGTGCTTTGCTATGGCAGATTTAGTGGATCAATACATCCTAACATGGCTGCAAAGTCCTCCTCAGCTTGTGTGGTGGCTGTGGATTGTTTTGCTACTGCTCCTTTCCAAAGATGGAGCCTAATTCTCATCCCTTTGAGCATGGGCTATACTTTAAGGGCTTGCTTCTATAAATAGAAGATGGCTATCATGACAGTTTGTGGCTTCCAAGAAGACATAGCAGTATTATGGATTACTTCTTGTTTCCATCTCTTAGCTTGTGCTTCAGAGGAAGCCAGCTCTCATGTTGCAAAGACTCTCAAAGAGCTCCATGTGGCGAGGAATAAGGCCTCCTGCCCACACCCAGGGAAGTTAGCATATCCCACAGTACCAAACAGGAGCTGCCGCTCTTAAATGTCTTGATTGCAATTTAAGAGGGACACTAAGTCAGAACTGCTCAACTAAGCTGTTCGGCTTTTCCTAAGCCACACAAACTATGATACAATCAACATTTGTTGTTTTAATTTTCTAAGTTGTGGAGAAATTTATTGCACAGTAATGTATAACTGCCACAGCTTGACTCTATTTGTCTTAGCTTGTGTCTCCTGTCTCCTATTGTTCCTAAAGCCCTCTTTCTATACTTTTTCTTACTGAAGACTATACATCCTCTTGAGTAGATTTCCAGCATTATTTTGTAAGAGAAATATTTAAAGTGCTGTCTTTAAAATGTGATACTTCCCTAGATCTCAGTAAGAAGCCCACGTGGACCAGTGCAGCAGGGGTGCATGCAGATCCCTAAAAGGGCCCCGCCCAGACACCAGAAGCTTGGGCACACAGGCCTCAGCCAAAGACCTGTTTGGAAAAGAATTTTTCAGGTGCACAAGCAATAGCCAGAGGCCTGCCTAGATACTATTGACAAGTGTGCACCGACCCCAGCCAGAAGCCTGCTTAGACACTAATGACTTGGGTGCACACCCCGCAGTCAAAGGCCCTCCAAGACAAGAGATAACACAGGTAAGCAGGCCCCAACCAGAGTGTGCACAGGCCCCAAACAGAATCTGGCCTGGACAACAGAGCAGCTCAGGGATCCAGAAGGCTTCCTTTCTGAACCCAGGAATTGGTGCACTGGTGAGCAGCAGAGAGAAGGCCTTTCTGAGGCTTGTTGAGAATTGAAGCCCTCTGGGCAAGCAAAGAGTCATTCAACAAAGGCACAGCAGGCTGCAACTGTTGAAATGAGAAGACTCATAAACAAGTCTCAAAACCAGACTCACAGATCACCTAAGGCAACCCCAAAGGGAAATGAGATGGAACAATCTAATACTCAACCACCTGAACTTCCTGAACTGGCAATGAAAGAGGATCTGGAAAAAATGAAATCAGAAATAATTTCTCATATAACAACAGATATTGTATCCATAATGAAAGACATGACTAACAAATTTAGAGCACAAGCAGATTAAAAAAAAAATTGGGGCGCTGAGGAACATAATGGAATCCCAACATAGCAAACAAATGGAATCCATGAAACAGATGCAAACAGATATCCAGGAGATTAAAAACTCCACTGAAAGTTTACACAGCAGAATAAGCCAATGTGAGGACAGAATATCAGACATAGAATGCAGTATTTCAATTAATGACCAGGAAAAGAAAAATTTCTTAAAAATAGTAAGGGATCATGATAAATCAATCCAGCAGCTACTAGAGAATGCAAAGAAGACCATAAGACTGATTGGAGTCAATGAAGAAACAGGAGAGAGTGCAAATGACATTTAAAAAAAGTGTTCACAGAAGTAATGGCAGAAAGTTTCCCAAGCAGGAAAGAAAACTTGACATACACATAAGTGAGGTATATAAGACTCCAACTAGCTGTGATAAAAAAATCTATACCTAGACATATAATAGTTAAAATTCCAGAAACTCAGCAGAAGAACAACATCCTATAAGCAGTTAGAGAAAAGAAACAAATCACATACAAGGGAGAGCCCATCAGAATCACAGCAGACATCTCAACATAAACCCTCAAGTCAAGAAGAGCATGGAGTGAAATATTTCAAGCCCTAAAAGAAAACAACCTTCAATATCTATACCTAGACATATAATAGTTAAAATTCCAGAAACTCAGCAGAAGAACAACATCCTATAAGCAGTTAGAGAAAAGAAACAAATCACATACAAGGGAGAGCCCATCAGAATCACAGCAGACATCTCAACATAAACCCTCAAGTCAAGAAGAGCATGGAGTGAAATATTTCAAGCCCTAAAAGAAAACAACCTTCAATTCAGATTGATGTACCCTGCAAAACTATCTTTCAAAATTGATGGATAAATAAGATACTTTCCAAACAAACAGCACCTGAGGAACTTCATAACTTCCAAACCAGCACTCCAAAAAATGTAAAACAATATCTGAGAAAAAGACAATGAGGATCACAACCCCAGGAAGCAGAATGAATCCATCAGGCAAGATAAGAAATTAAATGCAAATGGGGCGAATCCAACAAGCAAAGGTAACAACAAGGATGTCAATACATATCAGCTATAACCATCAATGTTAATGGTCTCAATTCACCAATCAAAAGGAACAGACTGTCCGAAAGGGTCAAGAAGCAAGATTCAACAATATGCTGCATACAAGAAAGACATAATTCAAAAAGAAATTCATAGACTGAAAGTTAAAAGGTGGAAAACAATACTCCATGTGACAGGAACCCCCCCAAAAAAAAGCAGGAATAGCTGTCCTATTTGCAGATCAAATGCATTTCAAGCCAACACTAATTAAGAGAGACAAAGAAGGACACTATATCCTTGTAAAGGGAATAATCCAAGAGGAAGAGATGACAATCATAAATATATATGCACCAAATACTAGTATATACAACTATATTAAACAAATACTAACAGACATGAAAAATCATGTAAACACTAATACAATAGTAGTGGGGGACTTCAGTACTCCACTGTCACAAATACCTAGATCAGCTAGGCAAAAAATAAACAATAAAATATTAGAACTCAAACTCTTCAACAAATGGACTTAACAGATGTTTACAGTGTTCTACCCCACAAAATCAGAATACACATTCTTTTCAGCTTTATATGGGTCTTTCTCCAAAATAGATCACATACTTGCTCATAGAACATGTTTAAGTAAGTACAAAGGAATTTAAGTTATCCCCTGTATATTATCAGTGCATTGAGCAATGAAATTGAAAATCAATAGCAAAAGAAACCACAAGAATTTCATAAACACATGGAAATTGAATAACATGCTTCTGAATAATCAATGGGTCATAGGAGAAATCAGACAGTTTCTACAATTAAATGACAATGTCAATACAACATATCAAAATCTATGGGACACAATGAAAGCAGTCTTATGAGGAAAATTCATAGCAATGAATTCTCATATTAGGAAAACAGAGCAAGCTCAAATAAATAATCTAACAGTGGTGGAAGCATAGACTGGTACAACCACTGTGGAAATCAGTATGGAGATACCACAAAAAACTAGGGTTAGAGGTCCCATTTGATCCAGCTATTCCCCTGCTGGGTATCTTCTCAAAAGAATTGAAAGAGTCATACCACAGTGATATATGTGCACACATGTTCATAGAAGCACAGTTTGTAATAGCTAGAAATTGGAAACAGCCCAATTGCCCATCAACTGGAAGCTGGATAAAGAAAATGTTTCTTTTTAAATAAAATGGAGTACTACTCAGCCATAAAGAATGATAAACTAGAGACATTTATAGAGACAAAATGGATGCACAATGAGGCGATACTCTTCAGTGAAATAAATAGGACATATGTGTAAATACTGACTAGCTTCTCTGAAAGTGTAAATATGGATTAAAATGTATAATAGATGATATGAAATGAGAAGCAAAGGTCCAACTGGGGAGGAGAAGTAAGAAGGGTAGGGGAAAGGAAAGAAGGAAAAGGAATAAAAATGAGAAAAGGAAAAAATGGAAACAAAATCTTTGTGAGTAGGGAGGGGTGGAGGGGCTGAAGGGAGAGCAAGGGAATGGGGAAAAAAACAAGATCCAAAATATATCATGTAAACGTACAAATTCCAAATAATGAATGTCAGTATATTATAACCTAAAAAGTACAATAAACTTAGTGGGGGAAAAAAAAACATGATCCTTCCTTTCAGAACATTTTCTTCAAATCATTATGATTTGTCCATTGATGCCTGGCTTCCTGCCTCTGTAGCTTACAAGCTCCTTGAGGCCAGAAATGGTACTGGTTTATTTTGTCTCTATGTAACTTTACCACATAGCTCATAAACAATCGTTGGGAGGGTGGATGGATATTAGCCACTGTGTTCAAGGAACGAGTGTTATATTTCACAACTGTTCTTCTGTTAAGTCTCCTGGTTGCAGAATCTAAAAACACTGTCAAACACAATGCAGCTAAACACAAGTGAACTCGGCTCAGAAATCTGTTCAAGAGCTGCTCATTCATTTTATGGCATTAAAATATTATTTTGTCTTCCTTTATTGTCTTTGTAAAATTTCTTCTCAACATCTCATTATGTCATTGTTTATCAGTGGAGAAGAGTAGGATTCTTTTCTGAATCTGTAGTGGATAACAATTTGAAGGAACATGTAGGTTGATGGAGCGGGAGGGTGGAGTTACCATTACTTCTCTTTGCAGCTAGCTATGCGATGTGATTAAATGGAGAAGCGCTGTAACAAGCCAGTGCTTCTAGCCTAGAGACACAGCCAAACAGATGACACATGGCAAGTAGTTTGCCTTAATTCAGCAGCCTCGCGAAAGAAGGGCAAATAGAAATGCTGGTTATGAACTGGATTGTCTTCCTTCTATAGACAGTATTTTAGCAATTCTAGTGAAGGAGGCCCTAAACCATTTTTTAAATTGAGTTTATTGGTACATTTTAGGAATACAGTACAGTTACAGTCATTATTGGGATCTTGTACCTTTACATGACAGGTCTTGGTTCTCATGTTTTCCCCTTGTCCCTGCCCTCCCTTCATCCCCTCCTCCACTCCCCACCTTAACCATTTTTTAAAAACATAAATATCATGCCTGTAATCTCAGATACTTGGGAGGCTGAGGCAGGAGTAATGAGAAGTTGAGGCCAGCCTGGACAATTTAGCAAGATCTTAACTCTTGAAAGGGCTGGAGTTGTAGCTCAGTAGCAGAGCACTTGTGTTATATTTGGAAGGTCTTAGGTTTAGCCATAGGGCTGTAAAAACACAAATAAGTAAATATAATAATTTTAAATAAAATAAATTTTATAAAACAAGAGTGTTAGTAAGTCAAACTATCTGCATGTAGGGCTGGCTTGCCTATTTTAAATTTGTGCTGCAAGTGTTACTCATGAATGATACTTCTTTAAAAGGAAGAAAAAAACAAGGACAAGCCTGTTTATCTTGAGCCTCTTATCTCAGACTGTTTTGCATGTATATGTATGTACATATATCTGTAATTTCTCCCTAGGTCCAGGAAAGCCAGACTCAGTAAGAGCTTTTATTCATTATTTAATCAAGGAAAGAGCTTTAACTCAAACAAGAGAAAGATAGGGAGGAGGTGAGGGGGGAAAGAGCCATCAGGCTGGAGCAAAAGAGGCTGGGCAAGAGAGAACATTTTTATAAACAGACTCTTGAGGTAAAAACCTGAACAAAGAGCAACAAACAGCTCCTTTCTATGTCTTTTTTTCTTTCTCTCTTAAAGCTCATGACAGACTCAATTCCCTTCCTGCATAATCTCTTCTCATTTCTTTCTGGAGCAATGTCAGTGCGCTGAATACAGAAATACATCACCACTTGTTTCCCCTTAAAGTTGCTCCTTCCTCAAGCTGTAGACAGAGGGTAGAAAATCCCAGCCCGACCCTCACATGGATGACAGCCTCCCAGCTTACCCAGCCCCATCCTTGCCTTCTCTACTACAGTTAATTTCAAATCCTGGAACTGTTTCCACCCTAAGGACTCTGAGATATTTTCCATAATCTAATTAATTTTTCAAGGAGCAAATGGCGGCTCATAGTCCCTCTAAGTTCCACTGGGTGAGAGGACCCAAGGAATCCATCCACTCATGGACCTAACTCAGGCCCAGATGAATGCCGTGAGAACCCAGCACACACCACGCCTCATGCCCACGCACTCTGCTTTCAGTCTCACAGTACCCACGAGGTAGGTATTGCTGTGTTCATTTTACAAATCAGGGGATGGAAGCTTAGAGGAAGAATTTTGTGTGCCTGTCAAGAAACCTAACTTTGATGTCAGCCCTGCCTTTCCACCATGATAAGCTCTCTTCTCCAGTGTTTCTTGCCTTTTCCATCAAAATAGTCTCCCTGATAATATTCCTTATTGGCCTAAACCAGTCTCTCCTTATTTTTTCCATTGGTGGGACTTTCTTCCCTCTTTTACTTCTCATTAATTCATTAATTTGGCAACTACATGGTGTGATTAAAATATAGTGCATGCTTACAATTTTTAAAAATGTACTACAGTAAAAGATCGATTGCTGTTAATCCCCCTCAAAATTCTCCCACACTTCAAACATTCCACATTGTATTTCCCACTTTTTTGAAGCAGCTCTGAAACTAAATTGAGGGTCTGCCTCAATTTTCTGAATTGATTCAAAACATTAACAGCTATTTCTGTCAAATAAAAATATTACAATGTGTCCTTATTCACTAGATCTGGTACTCTGGGACTTCTGGCTCTGGTCCAAAGTCAAAATGACCATGGAAGGTAAATGTCTTTTACTCTAATAAAATTTAAACATTCACCATATTGTTTGAGCACACCTCATACTTACTGAGCACCTTTTTTTTTACTTCCTGCCAGGGGAGCCGTCCTAGGGGTGCTTGCATTCTAGTTTAAGAAGACAGATGAACACGCAAACACATTCGATGTCAGGTGTCAGTAAGTGCTAAGTAAGGAGAAAAGACTGACCGGGACATGGAGGACAGAGAGCACTTGGGGCGGGGAAAGGTCTTGCTCTCGATATGGGAGGTCAGAGAAACCACACTGAAAGAGGAGGTGCTCAAGAGAAGATATGAGGAAGTGAGGAATTCAGCACTGTGGGAAGAGGGACAGCAAGGGCAGAGATGCTGAAGTCCTTGGGGGAGTTTGGGGAGTCCATGAGGAGGCCAGAGTGGCAGGAGCTATGGTCAACGGTGATGGATTGGTGAGGCTAGAGTGAGAGAGCCAATTGAGGGGGGACTGGGCCAGCACTGGGGGTGGGGCATAGATAGCACCTCCACTTGCAACAACTTGTGAACTGGAAAGTTCCCGGAGGCTGTCGGCAGAGAGATGGTGAGCTCTGACAGGATCCCTCTGACTGCTGCATGGACTGGGTGTAGGAAGTAAGCTGAGTGGCAGGAAAGCCATCTGGCAGCTCTGCAGAGAACTACGTGCAAGTTGGTGGAGAGAGGGGATGTGATGAGGAGTGTGATTTTGGAGCTATTCAGAAAGCGAAACCAACAGAGTCTGCCAATGGCCTGGATGTGGGGTGTAAGGAAAAAAGAGGCCAAGATGACTTCAAGGTTCCGGTCTGAGAAACCAGAAGAAGGGGATCACTGCTACTGAGAAGGAGAAAATGACAAAAGGGGGAGCATCAGACAATAGAGAGGGAAGTGGGACAAGAAACAGTGAAGTAGAAAGTAGGTGAATAAATGGACTAGAAAAACGAAGCCCAATAGTCCACTGGAACTTGAAGGCTAATTTCATGTTGGTGGCCGTGAGTTTTAAAGTGCCCATTAGGGGTGTTGTTTGTTTGTTTATTCTCTGATCATTTTAAGTTACAGTTGCATAAGTCTGGAGTAGACAGAGGGTTGGATTTGACCAAGTTGGGGATTTGTTCGCTAGTGCAATGAAGAACCAGGGACAGGTGAGAGAATGAATTTACGCAGAGAAGAGATGCTTATGAAGAACAATAATGTTTACAGAAGGGGGAACATTAATCTGGTATGTCAACTTCCTTGGACTAAAAAAGGCTTTTAGCTGATTAGTAAGCATGTTCTGTGGTGTGTCTGGGTGGGACTTGGAGGCATGGTCTTGGGTACTGTTTGGTCTCTTTCCCACTCCTCTCTGGTACTGTTTCCCTGCCCTGCTTCCTTACTACCTTGAACTAAGCAGCTTTGTTCCAGTGTTCCAGTCTTTCACCTTAACATCCCTTGGAGCCAGCCCATCATGGACTGAACCCCTCAAAATCATGAGCCAAAGTAACCCTCTCATCAAGTCGTGGATGTCAGTGTGTCTCAGCCACAAGGACACTGACTCATGCAGGAGGTAAGAGAGAAGGCACAGCAAGACAGGGTGTGGGTCAGTAGTATGTTGGCTGACAGGATCAGCAGGCTGTAGATGTTCGCAGGGTGAAAAAATTGCTGGAGCAGGGACAGTAGAGTGAGCTCAATGAACAGAAGGTGGTGGGTGGCCACAGAACAAAAGGTTTAAAATAGGGATTACAGATGGAGTGTGGACATTGATAGTAAAGGGTTTACAGGAATGAGTATGGACAGGGAGGACGCCTAGCATTACCTTCCCTGACTCCTCCTCCATGTGCCTACCTCTTTCTCTTCAGCTTATGTGTGTTTCCAAGAATCCTCCCTCTTTCTAATATTTACTATTTTTTTCTTTTTTTTAAATTTTTTTTCCAGCTTTAATTGAGTCTATTGGTACATTTTAGGGATACAGTACAGTTACATTCATTGTTGGGATCTTGTACCTCTACATGACAAGTCTTGATTCTCATTTTTTCCCCTTACCCCTGCCCTCCCTTCACCCCCTCCTCCCCTCCCCATCTACAAACACTTTATTTTCATCTTTTCATTCTCTCACATTTTTTCTTCTCCCTTATTCTAATATTTACTATTAATGACTGATGCAAATCTAACTCATCTACCCTCCCCCTACTGGTCCTGACTTGTGCTAGTCAGGATCCTCTGAAAAGTGGGATTAAGCATGCTAGACTTTCTTTGGGGAAAACAACAGTGCAGGAAGAAAGAAGGAGGGAGCTTGGGAAGACAGGGACAGCTGTCAGGCCACCATCACGCCTAACTTAAATGAAAGAGAGAGAGAGAGAGAGAGAGAGAGAGAGAGAGAGAGTTCGGAAGCATCTGAATAGCTATGCAGTCTAAGGGAGAGTCAAAGGTTTTATGAGGCTGCTGGGAGTCCTCGGCCTGAAGGTGTCTGTCAGAGGGGAACTCATCCCAGAAAGAGGCTACCTTAGCCAGCCTGACACACTTAGTCCTGGCTGAAAGCAACCTGTGAGAAGCTTGCGGTCAAGCTAATGCAGCAGTGAGTTTCAGAGTCCAGCAGCTGGATCCTTGGTCAGTTATGCTGCCCATTATTGCAGTCTGATGGTACATAATCTCATGGACACCACACCACTCCAGTGGCAGAGCTCAGGAGTGAGATAACTGCTCTGTTTTTATTTATTTATTTTGGTACCAGGGATCAAACTCGGGACCTTGGGCTTGTGAAGCAGGCAGCGGATCCACTGCGCTAAATCCCCAGCATGAGATAACTAGTCTTAAACTCGCTGTCTTGTACTGTTTATCCCTTTGCTAAGATCTGAGTGCTGGGCCCTCTTGAGAGGAGCTTGGGACAAAGTACAGCCCCTGGTTTCCTTCACACACAGTGGCGGTCTCCACACTGCCTCGTCTTTAAGGAAGCTTTTGTGCCTGTGAGAAGGGTACACTGTGCATGCTGCCTGCAGCACTGGGAAAATGGGCACACACAGTGGGTTTGCAAGAGCTGAGTTTGGAGAGAAGCAGTGTAAGGTATTCCACACGCACAAGCAGGATCAGGAGCCTCGCTGGATTCCACTGATCACTCCTCTGCTGGTTCCAGCAGACTCCATGGCTCCACTGAAGGGCCATTTCCTCCTATTTGCCATTTTTCATGTCCTGTTATATTCTTGGTCCCATATTTCCTACTCATCCACAGATGAAAATTCAGCCTTCACAAAAATCTCACCTCAAAGGTTTTTAAGTCTGTTTTCTCAGCCTACCACCCAAATAAATACCCATGTTCAGCCTCTGGAATGTTTGCGTCATCCTCACTAAATGTACCTTTGATTTCTCTTTCCCTCTGCAATTCTTTTCACTCCATATCCCTAGATGACACCTGGTATGTAATTCATGCACTATCCCTCTAGTCTTCCCTGTCCTTTTTACGCCTGCTGCCAACATGGTTCATGCTCTAGTTATTCCTCTCCTCCACCAACACAATTTATTGCTTCTTGCCTTTGCAGCTTCTCTTTTCATCCCTTTCCTCTTTGCTTCCCTGCACACCATCCTACCACTGTGCTCCTGCCTCTCCTCACTCCATTTCCACTCTTCTGTCTTTACCACCAAACTGGATCTCACAGATCCACTTGCCCGACTCACCACTGGTTCTTACTCCAGCCTTGAATAATTCATGGACCTCAAAGCTATCATCTTCTCTAAAAGAAAGACAAAAACAAAATCCCCTTCTAAAGGCCGCACCAATAACAACAAATCCATAATCCTTCTCAGCCCCAGATGGCATGAGCCATATTGCATGCACCCACAAGGGTAAACTGTTTGAGATTCGAGCTAAGGAGCAGAGAATAGCTTCTATAGGTGGCTTTCTGAAAGTTACCCATTGGTAAGTAGCAGAGCTAGAACCCAGGTTTGTGATACTAGATCCAACATTACTTGAACTATATCAACAATGCTTTGATGAAGAAGAAATCCCATCCTTGGGTGAGAGTGTGGGTCTTCAACAATTCCAGATTCCTGGGTGTTGGAGGACTGGTTAGAAATCCCATCCTTGGGCCCATCCTCAGGTTAATGAGTCACAATCTGCATTTTAATAAGAGCTCAGCTGATTCATATATATATATGAATCAGCTGAGCTCTTATTAAAATAGATCGCCCCAATTCAGAGAACTTCAGCCGCACCAACCAACTCCAGCTCAGAGGCTTCAGAACACAGGTATGTAGTGGTCAATTTATAGTGGTGTGCAGAGAACTCTATGTGGTACAATAGATGGTGAATCAATTTTACTTACTGACAGACTCATTAAACAGTCATTTCCCTTAATTATTTTTGTCTTTTATAAATGGCTATTTAAGTTACTCATTGCCCAGGGTTTTCTTCAAAGGAGGATAATCTAAAGGTGACTCCAAGACACAATTTGTGGCTATTGTATCTTTCACATGCTCATGACCCCACAGTGGATTTTCCAGGCATGAGAAGAATGGAATAAATATAGGCAAATCAGAAACACAGCTCCTGATCTGCACCTCACCCACCAAGACACCTGCACAATGCTCTGAGCTATTCTTAGACTGACATGCCACCTCTGGATTGTCACCCAACCAGCATTCATTGTAATCCAAAGAAAGAGAGGCCTGGAAACATATAATGGAAATGAATAAGCACCTCCCAACTTCCAGACTCCGAGACAGGAAGAAAGCATCCTTGGTGGATGGGTGGCCTGGAGGTCTCCTAAGAAGAAAACTGGGGAAGGACAGTATCTGGTTATCTCATGCTGAAGCAAAGCAAAGAGTTACAGATGCACTCAGACAATCACACTTCTAGGCACAGCAGGTGTGTGTGCATTCTTAGTATTACTAAAAAGGAGCTTGAAAGCAGTGACTATAGTTCCACAAGGTCTGGGTTTTGCTATGAGTGCACCTGCCCAATACGCATAGAGAAACACCTGGACTCATTAAACGTTCTGTATTTCAGGGTTGTTCTGGAGGAATATCAAATGAGGAAGTAGATTTCTTCTTCCTCTCCAGCATGAGAGTGTGCACAAACACATAAAAAAAACCTTTTGGTTCTGCCTACATTTAAGAAGCACAATTATTCCTAAAGTTTTCCTTTCGCTACCACAGACAGCTTCCTGCTCAAATATAGTAACCTAAAATATCCGTCTATAATTCTTAGCGTCTGCTCTGTACAGAACACCATATTTTGACATTCCAAGAAAAAAAATTAATTAAAAAAGGAAGGAAAAGGAGGAAAAAGGAATGGAGGGTAGGAAGACTAAAATATTCTCTGGGGGTACTGTCTTCATTGAAAAGCTAATAATGCATAAACATTAAAAAATATTTACATTGGCAGATTCTTATGTTGGTTAATTGATACTCTGCATATTTTTAGTATAGGACTGTTGGCAACAGCAACTGAAAACAATTAGTAATGCATTCATTATATACCAATTTATTGTAAAGGTTAATGGCACTTTGTTTTGAATAAAATCTCTACTAACCCTTCTGTGATCTGGGATGTTATTTTGCATTTTGTGCAAACCTGAATAGTTTTTCTTATACCTTGCCCAGTGTGTAGTTCAGATATATCATTAATTAAAGATTATTTGCTGGATGAATGAATCCATGTTTATGTTTTATGAAAATTTCTTGAATGTCTACAAACATTTTCAAATTTCATATATTCTACATTTTATTAGCTCAGGTGCCATCTAGACTCAGTTAATACTTGGCTGCGCTGATAATTTTATTTATGATACAACGGCACCTTGGTTCACCAACTTAATTCTTTCCACAGTGCTGGTTGCAGCTGAATTGCAAGCATAGTACATGGAGCGAATTCTGCAATCAGAATGATGGGAAGAATTAAGCTCATGAACTGAGGCACCACTGTATAAGTAATGATCCATCACTAAGAAGTCAGAATGGAATCATGTCCTGAACTGCAAATCAGTAAACTATCCATTATAAAGATAAGGAAAAGATATGAAGAAGTAATTTATTTTAAAAAAAGAATGCATATAAATGTAAAAAAAAAAATGTTCCCCCTCACTAACAATCATGGAAACACAAATTAAAACACCCAGGAGATACCATGCTCAATCTACCAGATGGGCAACCATCAGAAGAAATGGCCTGGTGTGTAAGGGCATGAGCTCTAAAGTCAAGTGGAAAAATGGATGGAACTAGAGGATATTAGAGTAAGTAAAATAGGCCAGACACAGAAAGACAATGTACAAATAAATAAATTAACAAGCAGAGGCAACCTAAAAGTAAACGAATCATTATTAGAGACTGGTAAGGGTGAGCGATTGTAAGTCAGGGGGAAAAAAGAGGGTAGATGGATGTGGTCAAGGATACTGAATGCATGTATAGAAATAGCAAATAGTGAATCCCATCAATTTGTGCCATTAATATATGTTAATAATAAAAACTAATAAATAAGAAAAATCAACTTGAGTCAAAGTCCAGCTCCACCACTGCATACCCCAGGACAATGTTTTTAATTTTCAGGAACCTGAAAGGGATAATAGTTTTAGTACCTACCTTACTGAGTTCTTGAAAGCACTAAATGATTTTATACTCATAAAGCATTTTTAACAGTGCCCAGCAGAAAGTACCCATTGATAAATATAGCTATTATTAATATCTAGTGTTGACGAATGTGGTGAGGCAGATACTTCTACTTTGGTTGGAGTAATCCAATTTAAAGATAATCCAGTGATTTCTATTAAAAATAAACATATGCATACCTTATGACCTCGTAATTGTTTCTGAGAATTGTACTCTTGAAAATGCGTATATTTGTTTCATTCTCAGATTCATTGCAATGTCATCAGTAATGAAAAATATCTGGAAACTACTCATTTGGCGAATGGCTATCTACAATTTTGGATACTTACTAAACAATATGTAACATATAACTGACATAAACTGATCTCTAGGATATTTGGCTTAGGGAAAATAGCAATATTTATACATTATTGATTTTGTGATAGTTGTTTAAATCATACATATATGTATATATATATTATATGTGTGTCGTTGTGAATATATATAGGTTTGTTTAGGGGATATTAGTTCTAACAGAGGTATTAGTATTAGGTGTCATAGAGTTTTTCAGTATTTATATTACTTCATTTTTGGAATGTATTATTCTACTGTTTGCATAATTAAATTTTAGTGAGGGTGTGGAATTATTGTTTAATGCATAGAGTTCCAATAATGAAAAATTTCTGGAGATGAATAGTAGGGATGGCTGTGCAATGATGTAAATACTTTCCTAGGCACATTTTTGTTAAACTATATTCTTCAAAGATGCTTAAAATGGTAACTTTGGTTGTGTACCTTTTACTGCAATAAAAACATTCAATTTAAGAAAATATTTTCTATTCTATAATCTGTGGCCATGGGGAGAGTCTAGTCAGGGGTCAGTCTGTACCACAGATGGCAAGACCCATGATATTTAACGTAATTTTTAAAAGGAACACAAACTTCGGGTGGAAGGACTTGGAGGACAGAGGAGCAGGCTGGGAAAGGAGGGGCTGTGGAAGGACTTTCTACCTCCAGGACAGTCTTAAAACAAGATGGAAAGCAATGTCAGGTAGACATTTACAGGGAACCCCAGCAATGCCCACTGATGCAAAGTGGCCCTGATACCAGGAGAGAGAAGCTCCCCAGTCCCTCTTTTCACAGTCAAAAGCCTTGCAGAGACAGGTTCACAAGTGGGGAGGGTGGGGTGGGAAAGAAAGGGGCCACATGCGGTAGCATTTTTTAATGGCTTTGTCTCTTCACTGAGGCAGGCTCATCTTTCAAAGAGCATCCTCACACCTGGAGGGAGCTTGATTTCCTTCTGAGAATCCACCTTTCAAACAGATTAAAAACTATTCTTATGAGTTGCCGCTGTTTACATGCAAACCTGTCATTCAAATGCTGGGTGCCTTCACAGGCACGCACAGAGGCTTATCAAGGCTCTCTCTCTCTCTTTTTTTTAAATAATTTCCTTTAAGTTCCTGTGCAGTTTGTCTGGGCAAGGGAAGGAGGCAGGGGACAGCAGGGTGTTTGTAAAGAGGAAAATGGGGCGGGGATGGAGCAAGGACGTAGAGGAGTGCCCTCCACCTGGGATGAGGGGAGGAAGGTCTCCCTGGGGGTCATCAACTCTGAGCTCATCTTTGCAAGAGGAAAGGTTCATCTTCAGCTACAGATATGGCGGCTCCCACTTCCACAGGCTCCATGTGCCCTGGTTCCCTTCACGCATTCACTGACACAGCCCAGTGCTGGGCCCACATTCCAGGAGAGGGAAAGGCTTCCTCCAGAGAAGGACATGCCGGCTTTGGAGAATCTGAGGAAGCATGATAAAGCCTTGAATGCAGGTATGGTAGGCCACAAGTTCTGGAACCAATTTTAAAATGTATCCTGTATGGAAGCTTAGATGTATTTTGCAAAAAAATTAAGATCAAAAAATAAGTGAACTACTTTGATCCAGAATTTATATTGCTCTCCTGGATGGATGAAATTGAATGTAAGGTATTTTCTCCACTGAAAATTGACCTACTGTGGAAATCAGAGTGGAGATTACTCAAATAAATAAATAAAACTAGAGGTTCCATTTGACCCAACTATTCCCCTTCTTCATATCTTCCTGAGAGAATTAAAAGCATCACGCCACAGTGACATGTGCATACCCATGTTTATAGCTGCACAGTTTGTAATATTAAATCTTGGAAACAACCCAAATGCCCATTAATCAATGAGCAGGTAAAGAAGATATGGCTTTTCTTTATACAGAGGAGTAAAGAAGGATAAACTTGAGACATTTCTAGGTAAATGGATGCACCTTGAGACCATATTCTTAAGTGAAATAAATAAAGACACATATGTTCAAATATCATATGGTTTCTCGGGTGTAGAAAACTAAAAGGGTAAATAAGGGCCAAAATATATAATAGATATTGGAAAATAGGAAAGAATGTTCAAATGGAAAGGGGAACTACGGAGTGGGGAGAGGGAAAAGGAAAAAAGAAAACAGAAGGAAAAAATGAAAACAAAGTTTTGTGAATGAGGGAAGAGGGGTTGAAGGGAAGGGAGGGGAATGGGAAAAAAAATAGTCAAGATATATCATGTACAGGTACAAATCTGTATGATGAATGTTATCACTGTGCATCTCTAAAATGAACCAATAAAATTGATTTTTAAAAAAGGACTCATCAAATGAAGAAGAAAGAACATTAACCTAAATTCTGGAAAGATAAGGATATTGTTTATGAGGTCTTGGAGAAAATATGTTGATCCATTCAAGCCAGCATAAGGCAAAACTAGATGCCATACCAATGTTTGTGAGTGTACATGCATGGGTGTGGTTGTGTGTGTCTGTGTGTCTATGTATCTACGAATATTTGGTGGAAACAAACTATTCCTTAGGTAAATGCTGTATTGAAATTTGTTCATGCCAAATGCCATAGCTGCTACCTGTTTTTATTCTAGCAAGACTTTTAAAATAATATTTCCTGCACAGATGAAAAGACATTGTCAAGATAGTAACAAAATTAGTTGACTGAACATTGCCCCTAGATTATTAATTTTATAAATCTGTTTCTTCATCTAATAATAAAAGTTTAGATATCCATTAAGGTCTTCTCTGCTTCTTCAGCTTGTGATTGTATTACTTGGAGGAAGTTCTCAAGAGATATTTCCCAAGAATTGTGAAGGCCCAGTCCTAACTTAGGTAAAAATGAAGGAGACATGCTTACA